CCCAATTATGCAAATGTATGACACAAAACTGAAAAAGAGACATTGTTATGTCCTCTATGGTCAAAGGGCAAAGAGAGAGGGAAGACATGCGACAAATTTTGCCGTGGCTTAAACCCGGGACTGCGGCGTGGAGGATTAAAGCCTCTTGCATATGGACCACACGCTAAAACGCCTACACCACCACCACCGCACACTTAAGACTATTTTTAAACATCTTCACCAGGGCTTTCAATAAAAAAGGTGAAATTAAATAATGATCGATTTCTTCCACACATTTGATTTTTAGTCTTCTTCTGTTCTTTATGTGGCAAAAAGTGAACCCATCGAAAATTTACTATATGCCATTTTTTTTTCATATCTACTGAGGCTTGTACCAGATGCCCACAACCAAATGAAATCACCCCACTCCCCTCCCCCGCTTAGGTTTATGTCCCAAATTTTCACCAGGCATTATGGATAGGCCATACTGCCACCGTTTGACTGACGGCACAGGACGTCGCTGTGCAGGATACAAAATCCCTCTGAAGGAACAGATGCTTGCTTTCTCTTGACATATGCCCCCAAAACTGAGCAGAATGGCTGGAACTAGAGGGAAGGACAGGAAACACTGGAAGGTTTTAAAGAAGGGAGGGAGTGATGGATATAATCTAATGTGGACAAATACTAGAAATGAATGATCCGAAAAAGGTAATTTGAAAAATCATCTTTGTCAAGGCAGTAAGAATGACTGTTCAGAGAAAGCCTCTCTTGTTTTCTCATAAATCGGAGCCAAAGGAGTGAGTCCCAGTCATTGTCAGAGGATGAGTTTAAAAGCGAGTGCTGAAAGGAGCCAGAATGGAAAGTGAGCTTCTTTTCTGCTAAAGATTAACAGATGGTGCTGAACCATAAGATAGGAGATAGGATGGGATAACAAGGGTGTACCCACACTTGCAACCTCATTGCATTGCATCTGTTCTTTAGCTTTAGCCGACCAAACAAAATAAATGGAGCAGGTTACTAGATGCTGCCGATGGCTGTATTTGGTAAGAAAAGCTATCAGAGATTCCTGTGGTCCAGAGCCGGTCCTGCTCAATGTGGCACCCTAGGGAAAATTCTACATGGCGTCCCCCCCCCTTCATCAGTTACATACGCTTAAACAAAAATCCAATTGCATTATTTTCATCAGTCTTTAATTTATAAGATAACCCAATTATTTCACTTAACCAATTACAAATAAATTCAAAATAAATCTGAAAAACAAATAGGTGAATAAATAACGATAATAATAGTAATCTATTATGAAATACAACACTCAACATCAAACATCAAATTTAAATAAGTATACATAAGTATACACACAATAACACTATGCATAAGCTACATTTGCACTATACAATAACTTTATAAAAACCTAAATAACTATGTAGAAAAACTGTAGAAGATGACTGTTACAGCTATTTTATAAAAATAATGATTCCTAAAAAAAATTAAAAACCTAATAGATACATGTTTTCTACTATGAGTAATATACAATGTATTTATTGCTGATATGCTTATTTGATTATATACAACTTTATTGTCATTACAGCGAAATGTTGATTAGCAGATGTAAAGAAGTAGAAAATGGCAGTGTAATATGGCATGTGGGAATGCAAAGTTATGGACTATTAATAATAATAATAATAATAATAATAATAGTAATAATAATAATGTGTACCTTTAACACTGATATAAAACTTCAAACTATCGACACGTTTTGTCTGTAACACAACAAACTAAGGTTAAAAATCTGATACATAAATGAGTGAAAAGAGAATTTCATTTTAATTGACTATTAAAAGTCGGACAAACGTTCGTTACCCAGATGTAAATACAACGACTAATCAAAACGTAGATTAGGCCAATGTAATCCATGGAGTGATCCATAACAGTTAAGACCTTTCCATGCTGCTCAGCTAAAGAAATATAAAACTGTTTATTTGCTCCAAGACAAATTAACAGGACACTGTGCTAAATAACTGGTGCAGTGCAATTAATATTGGGCATTGCCATACATTTGTTAGTTAATAGTAATGGCTAGTTTTAATATAATAATACCGATGGTACTGATTTTGTGGCACCCCCTGGAGCTTACGGCGCCCTTAGTATTTGCCTATATTGGGCTGCAGTGCTTTTAGATTCATTAATCCAAACAGAAGCATGCAGTCTCATATACAGTACCCGGTGCCTGCTGTAGGTCCTGCGTTTTTCAAGAGTTTTTCAGTATCTGCTTTTAGCGTGTCTGGTTTGAGGGTGAACTTGCTAAGACGGCCAGACCTGAACATATTTGCAGTCGTTTTACACTTAAAGATTATTTTCTGGCAGTGGAATGGCAGATTTCAGATTCTTTTGAGACCTCCTTAAATCCCCTATCAGGCTTTGGATCCCACTATGGTGTTCACTCTCACGTAAACATTCAGGAGCACACATTCAGATTCAAATTTCAGTACTAATCCACAGAGATTGGGTGAATTCTCAAAGCCTGAGAAATTACTGTTTATTTTATTTACTTGAGTTTCTTTTGATCCGCGCATGACGTGTTTTTGTTTGAGATCTTTTAGCCTACTTCATGTTGTGAGACAGCTTGTTTTTGGGAATTTGTCAAGTCTACTGACAGTAATCTAGCCTCAGTGTGGCTAGTACAATTCACCTGAGCTTTGTACAAAAAATGTATTCATTACACTTCATCTGTGATTTAGTAGGGGGAACAATTACTTTTTCAGACAGGTTGGTTTGGATAACTTTGTTTCTTTAAAAAAATTACTTCAAATTGAAACTACTTAAGAACTGCATTTTGTAATTACATAGGTTATCTTTACCTGGCATAAAAATTTGTTTAATTATCTAAAACATTAAAGTTTGACCAAAAAAGCAAAACAGAAGAAATCTGTAAGGGGAAAATACTTTTTCACGGGACTGTAAATGGATCACAAAATGGAGATCTTCACTTTTATATCAGCTCTTTCTTCACCATGACAGCAGTGGGTCCACTCATGTACAATGCCTCCTCCGGCAGAGGAATGAACCCCAACTCAGGGAGAGCAGTCCAGCTTTTTTCCACTTGAGAACTATGGCCTTAGTCTAACAGAAGATGAGTCTCAACTTGGCCACTCCACATTTGGCTGCATCTTTTCACATAAAACGAATGATGAAACCCTGAGGTTCCAAAAAGGCCTTTAGAGCCATCCCATGGTTTTCATGGAGAAGGGGCTGTCCTGATGGAGTCAAAATTGCACTGGGAATGAACTCAACTAGGTGCAAAGAATGTGAAAAAAAATTTTTTATGGTGGTTTTGGGCATCTGATCAGAATACTTCCATTTATCTGCATTGAGATTTTCTGGGCAGTTCCCACTTGAAAGGGGTCCATAGGGCAGACCCAGAACTTTCCAGTAGGTAATTGGGTAATATCCCTCCTGACATTGGAATGCCTTGAGATGGCCCAGAAGAACCTGGAGAGTGTAACAGGAGAGAAGGAAGGTCTCCCTGAACCAGTTAGCTGAAAGAACTAATCTCAGATAAGCAGAAAGCTATGGATGGATGAATCAGAAGATGAAAAACAAGGACAATCAGGATAAAAATTGGGTTTTGTAAACTTTGGTACCTCATCCTAAATAAAGTGTTTTTAACGGATACTTTGCATGTCTTTTTATGTTTCTAGGAACTCAAAGATTATTTGAAAGCAAAGGAGCAGCAAAATTCCAAGTCCCAGTAAACCTGTGCAAGGTATTGGCAAGTACAGCACAACACAGAGACAAACAAGACAAACAGCCAGGCGCATACAGTAATACCCAAAGGGAATTTAGTGGAACCAATGAACCTAGCATGCATTTTTTCTGATTGTGGAAGGAAGCCAAAGTACCCAGAGAGAACTCATGCATGCACGAGGAGAACATACAAACTCCATGCAGAAAAACACCAAGCTGGGATGTGAACCTTCCTCCTGCAAGGCAACCATCCTAACAACTATCCTCTTGTCAAATCTACATTTACTTTGAAGTACTTAAACACAAAACACTGTACACACTTACCTGCACATACACACACTTTCCTCCAAGGTGAAATCTTTTCATTAAAAAAGACAAACAAGATGAAAAACACTGAGTATAATATATTCAGTAAGTCTTTTATTAACAGGCAAGGGTTTAATTAACAACTATTGATAAGCTTTGGTTGTCTTAAGGACATGTTTGTTTGTTATAGATATATGTGGGTGGGTGGTTGTCTGTGTATCTTAAGAACCTGTTCATTATACAGTCATTATGCAGTTATCTTCTTGATTTGTGAACCATGAAGAGGAGAAGCGCACATACACACTTGTAGGGTGTGAGCTACAAACACAGCATGTTGACAGATTAGACGGGAGTTTTTAATTAATTTAATTAAGCCTAATTGTTATTTGTTGAATATGTGGCATTTATAAAGTTTGCAAGGATATCCAAGCAGATGATTGAATCCTAATTAAAGTATCAGGAACTGTGTTTAAAGCAAGAAACGGACGAGAAGCAGATGATCATTATACATGAATGCCTTCATGGGAAAACACTGCACAAGAACTCGCTTTATGGGAAAATGAAAATACATGTCTTTTCTGTACAAGCATCTCTTAATTATCAGCTTTAAGAAGAAGCCTTATGTCATCATATTCTTGGGTACAATGAAATTATGTTTAAAAAATTATTTAAAATTAAGATAAATAACTAAGTATAATACATCAGTCAGTCATTTTCTACTGCTTATTCCATAGTGGGTCACAGGGGAGCTGGTGCCTATCTCCAGCAGTCTATGGGCAAGAGGCAGGGTACACCCTGGACAGGTCGCCAGTCCATCACAGGGCAACACACAAACAACCATGCACACACCTAAGGGCAATTTAGAGTGACCAATTAACCTAACAGGCATGTCTTTGGACTGTGGGAGGAAGCCGGAGTACCCGGTGAGAACCCACGCATGCACAGGGAGAACATGCAAACTCCATGCAGAAAGGCCCTGGGCTGGGAATTGAACCCAGGACCTTCTTGCTGCAAGCAACTGTGCTACCAACTGCGCCACCATGCAGCCCTAAATTGTCCTAAATTATTAAAAGAGGAAAGCGTATAATAAGTCTATTTCTCCTTGGAGTTTACAGCACACATACTAAATCATGAAGTCTGTTACAGTCCTTTACCAGTGCTTGTTTTTTCTTAACAGCACATCTTTCTTTTTGTAACACATGCCCTGGCTTTAGGATCTAAATCTAGTGCGATCTCAACATCAACAACCAACTCCAAGCTTTTCCAGCATAAAGAACTGCTTTCGTCAGTGGCTGGAAACAGGGTTGTAAAAACAAACAACCTACAAAATATCATAAGCATCATGTTTAGAACTCCCATGCTAATTTCACTTTTAATCTGACTAATTTAGGACTATATCACTCAACTTTAACATGAATAAAAGGTCAGATTAATACGGAAATTATATGAGCCCTATGTTTTTATGGCCTGTTGCAGAGTTACAGTGCTGGTAAAAAAAAGTCATATACAGTACTCTTACCATGGGTACTAATGTCAAGCTTTTAAAGACACATTTTGACTGTTCTTTTTTAGGGGGGAAAGGATTTTACAACATACAATGCACAAGTTTGACATTGTTATATATTTTATCTAATCCACACATAGCTAAAATGAGATAATAAGATTAATATGCAAGAACCATTATTTTTTCCTCTCTGAAACTAATTTTACTTTAAATACTTTTCAACCAGCCTTTTTCTTTAAAACCAAAACGACTACTGGAAATGTTTGTATTATAGTTGCGTAATAAAACCTTGCTTTTATTCTCAGTAATATATTCAAGCTGACAACATGTGAGAGCACTTCATTAGGGGGCGCCAGCTGCTAATACAAGAAGTAAACATTTTGGTCCCTGGTGTATTACTAGAGGAATCTCTCATTGAATATATTTGTAAGTACACTTTAAAAACTGACAGACACCTTAGGTTAAATGCATTTAATTTATCTCTTGAACTTCAGTTGGTATAATGAGTTTTTTACACAGACCATAACTTCATGTGCTTTCCATTGTTTCACTTATAGTTGTCTGACATTGCAGACCAAGCAGTTGACATTAGTCATAGTTTAACTGCAACTTTTGTACTTTTGTTTCTACCTTACATTATATAAAACTTAGTGTACTGTAAAGAGTTAAAAACTGTAATTATGTAACAATTCCAATTATGATGAATAAAAAGGACTAGTTTTGAATTCAGAATTTGAAATTTGCAGAGCATGTTCTCTGAAGCTCTTATTTTGGCTGGCAAAAGTATTGTAGGAACGGTAGTTAAACTATCATCTCCATGCACAAACACACACACACGCATGCATGCACAACACCCCCCAAACACATACACACACATGTAGTGTCTTGCTATCCTTACAGGGACCTTGCATTGACCACCATTCATTGCTATAACCTAACCCTAACCCTAAACCTAACCATTACCAGTACATGCCTAACCCTAACCTAAACTCAATTCACAACTTAGTGCTAAACCCTAACCCTAAAACAGCACTTCGCCCTATGGGGTCCAGGCATTGGGCCCCAAAAGGAGCAGTGAGTCCTCACAATGTAGAATATGCTGGAAAAATTGGTCTAATACCATAATAAATGCTAGAGCACACACATACACACACAAACAAGCTACTGCCAAAAGAAAACACCCAGGTCTGCCTTGAGGATAAAATAACTGTCTCCACACACACACACACACACACACACACACGCACACACACACATGCACACACACACACACACACCTGAGTATACTCAGTTGCCAGCAAAAGGCCACAGCACCGTCTGTTCCTGCCACACACACAGACTCATTCTCACAGCAAACTGCTGTGCTGTTTCATTATTATTCATTATTATATATGTTTTCTGATGTGCTGCATACATATAGATTTTTTTTAAAGGAAAGAAACGTAAACACAGATCATTTTGTCTCATCTGCAGGTTAAACTTGATGATGAATAAAATAACTTACAACAGATGAGATTTGTGGATCATAAATCTCTGGGTGCGGTCATATAAAAAACGCAGGACACCAAAATTTGACCATTTTTTTAACTAATAAATAAAAAAGGGGTTTTCTAGCTGAAGAGAAAGTTAGGACACCCTGCCCCCTCTTAGTTGGTATTACCCCTTCATGCTAATACGCTTCTTGTAGCCATCTACCAGCCCCTGACATCAGTCGGAGGACATTTTGCCTCATTTTCAGCAATGAGATGTTTAATGGGTTTCTTGCATGTCACACAAAACATCTCAGTGAAATCACAATCTGACCTTTGACTAGGCCCAGAACATTTCTTAATTCTCAGCCAGTCCTTGGTGGGCTTCTTGGTTTTGGGTCATTTTAACGTTGCAGCATCCAGTTCTGCTTTAGTTTTCTTTGTTTTTTTTTCTTGGTTTTGTTTATAATGTATTTCTTAAGCACCCTGTAATACATGGTAGAATTCAGCTGGCCAGGTCCTGGCCTAGCAAAACATACCCAAACCAAGACACTTCCAACTCCACATTTCACAGCTGAATTGAGGTTATTTTCATACAATGCTGTATTTTGTTTATGCTCAATATATTATTTGTTCTGGCATCTAAATAATTGAATAGTGTTCCAGAATCCTGGTCTATGCCTACATTCTCTCTGGAAAACTTCAGTTTGGACTTGATGTTTTACTTAGAGAGCCAAGGTTTCCTTTATCCACACCTCCCATTAAAGTTAAACTTTATGATTGTACAGGAATGCACTTTCATATCAACAGTAGCAATATGCTGCTGTAGGTCCCGTGATGACATTTTAGTGCTTTTGAAGACTTGTTTTAACATTTTGCAGTCTGCTTTAAGGTAAACTTGCTTGGAAGGCCAGATCCTGACATGTTGACAGTTTCTTTAACTTTCCCCCTCTTGTAGACTATTTTCCATACAGTGGCTGATTACATTTTTTGCAGACCTCTTCAAATCCCTTACCAGACTCAAGGATAGAGTCTGGAGACTACAAATGACAAAAAGGAATTGTCACTGGTTGCGAAATATCATTTTTATATCTCTCTCTGCATTAAGATTGCCTCCAATGATGACAAGCCTTGTTTCTGCAATTATGGAAATTAACTGTAGTTTCTAATTGTATTGCAATTATCTGAACCATTAATACAAGAGCCAGTACAGATCATGGGCAAGAAGAACATCGGCACCATAGTTTCTCATGAATGAAGATAATTATCTTTGACAGCTTCAAACACCTGACGCTCAGTCCAACCAAACACAGTTGTGACCACTTTTATTGCTGCTGTTCATGTTGGACAGATGTGTGCAGTAACAGCACAGTGCAGGTGTTACTAAACAAACATTATAGATAATGTGCGAGCTGGTGGTCTGTGTGCATATCCAAGTTAATCATCAGAATAAGGCTTCAAGCTCATATTTTGCAGGTTGCCACGCAACCCAGTAGATCCACCCGTCCTTTTCCCCACACCCACATGCACACATTTATCACATTTAGTGCCTTGTAAGGAGCCCTGGTGACCCAGAAGGAATCTCAGACAGCTTGAAGATGGCAGAAGAGAACAAGGAGGAGACAAGGATGAAGACACACCTGTTATTAGCTTTTCTCCAGAAGGCGGATCAGATGGAAGCTGAGACAGTCGAACTCGAGAAGGAATGGCTGGACGTAAAAAGGGGGAAGACGGGAGATCCTTGGAGAGAAAGAAAGAGATTGTCGAGCATTAATAATGAATGGCAGGTCCTTAGAGACTGTGTTCAGACATTAATAATGAATAACACTCAGCTGGAGGGGCCAAACCAACATCTCGGCACAACTTGAGAGGAGAAACAACAGAAAACTGTATGTGATGCTTTAGGGTGAATTAAATAAAGTTTTTGCTGGTACAGAACCTTGTAAAAGTATTCATATCATGAAACAACCCCAAACCTCAATGTATTTTATAGGGAGTTTATGTGATAGACCAACAAGATAAATGTGAAATGGAAGGAGACCTTTTGTCTGATACATTAAATTAAAGTCCAGCGCACCAAACTGCCTTAAAAGTCCTGAAAATAGTAAAAAGATTTCACCTGTATGTAAAATCTACTCAGCATGAATACATAAACATCCTGTGTGGTGAAATGCTCTTCTTCAATGATAACAGAGAAGCTGTTGAAAGATTTTTCGAGATGGATACTGTGAAATATAGGGCAAACCTGGAAGAAAATTTGTTAGTGGCAACTAACTTGAGACTTGGGACTAGAGCAGAGGTTTGCCTTTCAGCAGGACATCTACGCTTTACATACAGCCAAAGCTACAGTGGAATGGAATTTAGATCAAAGCATATTCATGAGTTAGAGTAGTCTAGTCAGAGTCTAGATCTGATCTCAATAGAGAATCTGTGAAAGTACTTAAATATTGATGTTCACAGACGTTTGTCAACAAAGCAGACTGAGCTTATGCTATTTTGCAAAGAAGAATGGAAAAAAATGTCCACCCCTAACACATACAGAATCAGAATATCCTTTTTTGTCGTGGTCACAAGTACGACATTAAGAAAAACAAAACTGGTCTGGTCTGTACATGAGCAATAAATACTTTATGTAAAATAGAAGCAGGTTGTTAAAAAGATGAAATCCTGGATGAGAAGTGTCCTTTATGATATTCTGGGCTTTTTGGAGACAGTTCCTGCTGTCTCCAAAAATCTCAGCTCATCTTTTAAGTGTGGGGAGAGGTCAGCCAATGATCCTTTGGGCCGCCTTTATGACCTTCTTGAGAGCTTTCCTCTGAGCCACTGTACAGCTGGTGTACCGCACACAGAGACAGTAAGTCATTACGCTCTCAACAGAGCATCGATAAAAGGACACCAACAGTGATGTTATTTTTCCTATAAACCCTCAGGAAGTGCAGTCTCTGCTGGGGCTTTTCAGCAGCTCAGAGCTGTTCACGCTCCAGGTCAGGTTTTCCACGGTGTGGACTCTCAGGAAGCGGAGGTCAGCCACCCTCACCACAAACTCCCCGCTGATGGTCAGTGGTGAAATGTCCA